TATATATTCTTAAAAAAATTGTTTAATTGAGCTGAATTTTAAATCTTGATACATTATATCAAATCAAAGATACTTTTATTTCAAAATAATAAAGTAAAATTTTGAAATTATTATAGTCTTACTTGGGAAGTAATTTAAAATTCTAATCTTTAAAACAAAATTTTAAAATCCGCCTCGTCTTTATTAGATTAAGCAAATTACTATATAGAATATATCATATTTAATAATTTATGACATTTTTATTCATGTTCAGTTATTTAACTTTTAAACAAGGGACTCAATTATCTGGTAACTATATTGAAATTTATGGGGAATATTTAATGTATAATTAGATTATGTTGGAAAATATTTTACATGCATCGCAATTAAGTATATATTTATAATTTTACCAACCCTTCTATGTTTATGATTTTAATATAGAAACGTTTTAAACGGATGGAGTCTTTTACATGCAGAAGAAAAAGAAGTGTTCACACACTTTTGTCAACAAAATCCCTCAAAATTCACACGGACAGAAGGTGAGAGTTAGAACAGCAGGGATCCACTACTGCCAACAATTTGGTCCCACAATGGAATCTCTTTCAGAACAGACTCATCAAATCATAAATTCAGATAGTATATAAGAAATTTAATGTTTTTATAATAATTTTCTTAAAAAATATTCTAAATAAAAACGAAGAACCATTGTCAAAACTCTATTCTCTAGCCATTATTTTCATTTATGTTCGTTCTCTCAACATAAATGTTTCTTTAACACTCGTCTTTAGGGACCATAAACGTTCACAAACAATAATGAAAACCTTTAAACCTTAAATTCTTGACATTTACACGACTCCAATGAAAACCTTTTTCTTTTAATCTATTAATACATTTTTTTAAAATAGAATAAGTAAATTTTAAAGGCAACAAATACTTTTAACCATTTAGCGAAGTAGCCATCGCTATGAGAATTAATATTTGCTAAGGCAAGTGAAAGCAGCGTATAATGTCCATTCCTTCTTTTTTTAACGGTCAGGAGGAAGTGATTTGATGTAGACAAACAGATGGTGTGCGCAAATCATTAGCGTGTTCTTGAAATTTTTTACATTTCTTAACATAAGTGATAGTGTTGACTTTGATGGTCGACTAATAGTACTAGCCCTTAAAATTCGAATTGTCTTGTTGTCTTAGAATCAATTTCACATACATTATGAATTTACTCGCAATTTAGTCGGCTTCCACTAGCATGAGCAATTCATCAGCGGTGCAGAAAAGTTTCTTCTATATAGGTTCTCTCCTACCTTCGGCGAATGCACCAAAGTAGGCAAAAATGAACAATTTATTACCGATCTAGGCAAAAATTGACCAAAAGTGAAGTCGTGGGGGGTAAAAACGACTTCCAAAGAAGAAGTCGTGCCCCCCCTGCACGACTTCACACTGTTCATATGAACAGTGTTGAAGTCGTGCACCCTAAAAACGACTTCTGGGGCTTGTAATCGATTACAATGAAACTGTAATCGATTACAGAGTGATGAAATGGAGACCCTGCAGATTTTGAAATGAGTAGACAGGAAAAGAACTGGTAATCGATTACGGCATGTGAGTAATCGATTACCAGGTTGGATTTGTAGGAAGAATCACTCTTGTAATCGATTACAGGGTTTTTGTAATCGATTACCAGTGGTTTTTGTTTGGTTTATGAGAATGAATTTGTATTTGACATATGTTATGTATTGGTTATGTTATAGGAAAAGAGAAGATAAATATGTCTAGGAAATATTTATAGTAATATATGAGTAATGGATTTGATTACAATTTGGTAAAATTAAGAAAAAACTATTGGCGAAAAGGACAATTTCCCCTATGATGACCTTCGTTGCGGCAGTAAGAGCATTTTCTTGGCTTATCTGGATTGGATTGATCCATTTCATTATGAAGCCTATTTGTAGATGGTCTTCCGGATGCCTTACGTCGCATTTTAGGATCTGGTATGAAGTTTGGACCTGTATACAGAGACCAATAGTCTTCATTTTGGATTGGGTGAAATTGTACTTGGTATGCCTTGAAAATATTGTGAAGACTGTATACCGGATCGATTACTTGGGTTAGGGGGATATGCGAAAATGCACAAACAGCAATGACATGATGACATGGGAGTCGAGTAGCTTGGAAGTGTCCACAATCACACCACCATTCATTTAGACTGACCTTGTACGAAAGTGGAACTGGGCGGTAGTGGTGAGGTGTTGAAATTTCTTGAACATCAAATTCAGAATTTTCAAGATTGTAGCGATGAACATGACAATATGCGGATTGTTGTTGATTTTTCCTAATGATGTCGGCGATCTGTTCAGGATATTGGTGTCCTGCTTGTATCATGGAGTTGGCCTTTAATCCGCGTTCAACAAACCATGATTGTGTCCTCTCAAATGTTGTTCTGATGAGAGCACATATTGGTAATGAACGTGCTCCCTTTAAAATGGAGTTGGTGCACTCAGCAAGATTAGTCGTCATATGTCCATATCTTCTCCCTCCATCAAAAGCCTGAGACCACTTTTGTAATGGAATTTTATCTATCCATTGAACTTGTTGTGGGTATTGGTTTCTCAAAGCAGCAAGTTTTGCTGTGACAGTTGGTTGCTTCACCTCGTAAGCTGTAATAAGGTAATAAAAAAAATAAATTAAAGAATAATAATGTTAACAAAATTATAAAAGTATATAAGTGTTAGAAGAATTTTTGTATGAGTACCTAAATTGATGAATTGTTTTTTGAGGTCGTGATTTTTGAATTTGGTGTTGAAGTTGGATGCTAGATGACGTATGCAATAAACAGAGTTCAAACCATCATGTTCCCAACCAACTTCATCTGATCTTAAGGCGGACAATATACCCTTTCCTCTATCAGTGATGATGCAAATATTTTGTTGATGACAAATATGTTCTCGAAGTAGTTGAAAGAACCATATCAAGGCCTCCTTTGTCTCACCTTCTACAATGACAAAGGCCAGGGGAAAAATATTTCTATTGCCATCTTGACCTATGGCGGTTAGCAAAGTTCCATGATATTTACCCGTGAGAAATGTGCCATCAACTTGAAGAATGGGTTTACAGTACTTGAATCCTTCTATGCAAGGACCGAAAGACCAGAAAACTCTTTCCATAATATAGCAATTATCGTCGGTATCTCCATCAATATTAACAGGAGAACCAGTGCATTGAAAAATTGTACCTGGGTTTGCTTCCTTGACGGCATGCAACCACCTGGGCATGTGGTTATAAGAGTCCTCCCAGTCTCCAAACTCCATAGCAAGAGCCTTCTGTTTAGCGATCCAAGCTTTTCTGTACGACACAGAATATCCGAATCGACCCTTAATATCGGCAATCAAACTCTTGACAAGAATGGATGGGTTTGTCAGGATTGAATTGGATATGATCGTGGCAATGTGAGTACTATCAAGATTCGTATGATCTTGAGATAGTATTGTTGAGAAACACGAATGTTGTCCGTCTATATTTTTGATTTCCCAATATTTACGGACTTTGCTATAAACTGCCCTAAGACGCCATTGACAACCGTTGTGATATTCCAGACAACGAATAACATAAATGTTGGGTTTGGACTCAACGACGGTGTATTTGTAACCGTTTGTTATGTGATAATGTTTGATTGCAAGAATAGTTTCCTCCTTTGACTGGAACTGCATACCTTGAATCAACTCTGGAAATACTTGTGCAGATGATTGTGCTATGTGGCCGTCGTCGTTGTTGTCATCTTCGATTATGTTGTCTAATTCATCATCCGTGCTGAAGTCATCAACGTTATCCAATATTACAGGTTCTTCATCAATTAGGTGCGATGATGAAGATGATGGCAAGTTCCATGATGCCATTTTTAAGGAAATATTCGGAAGACTTTGTTGAACAAGCTTTGGTGGAAGAGGTTTTGGTCGTGCAAATTGAATGTGAAGATAGCCTTCTTCTTATATAGCGTATAAACTATGCACAAGCATCACTGTGTGTTATGATGCAAAATTCGAAGTTCTGAAAGCAATTTCCTACAGTCTGAATATAGCACTGGTGGACACTGTCATCTACACATAGAGTTTGATGTAATTAGAAGGTACCAATAGTATAAGTTTATATTAATATAGGTATCCGTAAAGCAGTGTCACTTTGATATCCCTGCACCGTCATTCATAGGTCCAGTGTTACATTAAATTGGATGAATAAAATATTGTGTGTGGATTAATAAAATAGTTTGTAAATTAAATTAAATATAAAAACAAAAGGATGTTTTAAAAAAAGGAATATAAAAAAAAATTAGATAAAAGGAAAAAGAATTAGAAAAAGTAATTAAAAAAGACAAAAAGGGAAATTGGGGGGGGTGGCACGACTTCACCTATTGAAGTCGTGCCACCCCCCCCAATTTCCCCTTTTTGTCTTTTGTAATTAGTTTTTGTAATTTTTTTTTTTTTAACCCATTCCCATTGCTTTTACCATGGAATAATTACCTTTTTCTTCCTTATATTATTCCAAATCATGAAAATTTTGTTATATGAATTTAGTCATTATTTTCATTACAAAATAATAAATATGTAAATTATATTTATCCATGCATTGGGCTACGGGGCAAATGGTACAGACGCATGCTTAACGTTTTGGTCTGAACACCAATAATAGTATTCAACTATGCACACCAAGTTTCCTATTCATTTGCATGCCTACATTTACTTTCATATTGTACATCTACTTTTTCATTGCACATGCATGTCATATTTTTTGCAGGTTGAAGAATCTCTGAGGGCAATTATTATGAAATGTCATTTCGCATTTCATTTCTTCTCCCGTGACTTTAAATTGGTTAAGGGTGCATTTCATTTCTCCCAACTTCTTCTCAGTTTCTACACCCAAACCACTTGTAGATGCTCTTTGCTTCCATATCCCTATAGTCTACCAATACCAAATCTCAGTTCCAAAACCAAAAACAGTTCCAATAACCCACTCTCACCCACAAAATCGAAATGGCTTATGCCCGTCACCTTCCCGTTGATATGTCCCTTTTACGTCTACAAGATAAACACATCGTCCAGTCTATTTGGGAAGGCAATGAAAGAGTAATTTGCCCTCGAAGACATGCAATTTGGTTAGCAAAGCATGTTAACGAAATTGATGAAAGAATAAAGAATATTTTACATGGAGCAGGTTTTATCCATATTTTACAAGCATCAAGTATGGAGATAAGTCACAACCTTGTCACTGCTTTGGTTGAAAGGTGGAGAGTGGAGACTCATACTTTCCACTTGCCTCATGGTGAAACTACAATTACATTGGAAGACGTTGCATTACAACTGGGGCTTCCTATTGAAGGACAGGTGGTGAGTGGCATAAATTCTGGTCCCCTAACGGTATTTTGTCATCAACTACTAGGAGATGTTCCACCTGACAATTGTGTAAGGGGAAACAGAATCAAGTTGTCATGGTTGAATAACACTTTCCGCCAATTGCCTAATCATGCAACGGAACAGGTGATTGAACAATACGCTAGGGCGTATATGTTGATAATAATTGGGAGTGTGATCATGCCAGATACATCTGCAAGCATGGTGCATTTGATGTATCTTCCCCTTTTGGCCGACCTCCATAACGTTTCACAGTATAGCTGGGGATCAGCCACGCTCTCCTGCTTGTATCGTGCCCTTGATCACGGGACTAGGGCTGACCAAGACAATATTGGAGGGTGCATGATCTTGTTACAGTGCTGGGCATGGGAAAGAATAACATGTCTTTCACCAGAATTACTTGAAGTCACAGAACACGAGATTTCTTCTGGTGCAGTTTTTCCACTTGCCAAAAGATGGTGTCGCACAGCACAGTCTGCTTTCCAGGACACTACAAGTGTTAAACAATTTCGCCAGAAAATAGACGACGTATCACCTCGACAGGTATTTTTTAAATACATAACAAAATTTTTGTTATAAAATTTTTGTACATTTGATGGCTTAATGAGTATACCCTAAACCAAAAACTTCTTATGATGCAGTTCCTATGGACACCGTACAGACGTCCTGAAGTTTCAGATCTCATTCAAGTAGAAGTGCCACCGACATGTCGGGCACTTGTTCCACTTATATGTTTCTCTGTGGTAGAATACCAACAATCCGACCGGGTCATGCGACAGTTTGGTTTTAGGCAAAATGTTCCTCATCCACCAATGAATCTAGATGAGGAACATAAATTGGATATGAGAGGACGCGCTGATTGGAATTGGCATGAACACCATCAACAGTGGATTGGATTGTGGAATGACCGGCATAATCGTGTCTTCAACGGGATACCTTTTCAGAAAAATGGTCACTTGCGAGATGAATCGGAGTATATGCAGTGGTATATAACTCATACCATCCGGTACATTGCGTTAATAGAAGATTCAACGGACTCTGAGGTACTACAATATTACCTCCAAAAACAATCATTATAGTGTTCATATATTGTGTTAAAAAGTAATTACAAATTGTGTTTCACAGTATGACATGGACCACGAGGAACACTTCCAGCCGCCATCTCAACACCGTGCATCTTCTTCATATCATGATCCACAAAGGTCAGCCTCTGACCATGGCAACTATCAACATCCAGCTGTAAATTCAAGGTTTCAACAACACATTCCACCGACACCAACATATACTGGGGTTGACAGTGGTTATTTCGCCTTTCCACCATCCACACCGTTCAGCGCAGGTCCATCCAATTATTTTGGAACCACCACAATGACTCCCCCATCTTCATACGTACACCCATCATCCTCACATAACGTCAATCGACCCACATTTGACTATCAAAGCGTTCAACAGTGCAATGATCCAACGGATGAAGACCAACCAACGCACGATCCCACACCTCAAGAACGACCACAGAGGCGAGCCCAACGACATCGACGACGCCCACCGTGTGGAACTGGAGGACATAGATAGAATGCTTGCCTTCTTTATCTATAAACATGTAATTTGTTTACTTCTCTTAAAGTAATTAAAAACAGTTTTATCATCAGAAATTATTATCGTCATATTACATTATTCAACTTAACTTTATATACAAACCAATTGTAAAACATAATGCATTCATTAACTAATTTAACGTAACAGGCCAAAAAGTTATCTAAATCCACACACAAGAATGACTGGTAATCGATTACATCTCTTCCGTAATCGATTACCAGTCCACCAGTGTTACAATTTGCAGGATTTTTTCAAGTACGTGTAACCAGAAGCCCTGGTAATCGATTACGTGCTGTCCGTAATCGATTACCACATAACCATCATAACACTTCCAGGATTTTCCACAGTGGGCTTTACCAGAAGCACTGGTAATCGATTACATGCTGTTCGTAATCGATTACCAGGGGCTCGTGTAATCGATTACATAAAATCAGTAATCGATTACTCGACGAACCCTACTCTATATATTTAACTTTTTCTCTCTCCTCACGCACTTCACCCCTACCACTCGACCTGCAGCGCCTCCAAGGGTTCTTCCACCCTCTCAAACCTCAAAAAATCACCACATCTTCCAACTCTTTCACTCTAAAACACCATAACTCCACTTCCCTTTCAATTCTCTACACTTTGGACTGATTGGATTTTCAAATGGCGGAATCTTCGAAAAGGCAAAGAGTAAGGGGATCATCTTCTAGAGGTGGGGGACGTGGCCACCGTCAACCATCACCGCCACAAAACTCTCCGCCACCCTCACCACCGCCGTCACCCACCGCTGAAGACCACAATGTTCAGTTTTCAAATGCTGCACAAGCCCAAAGGTATTTCTCACTATACAAAGACCGCCCCATCATTGAGCCCAAATATCTAGATGACGATTATTTTGACACCCATGATTTTGAATTTTTTGGGATGCTTAAAAATTTGGGATTGGATGAATTTTGCTGTGATTTTAGTTCTTATAATCCTCATTTGGTGCGTCTGTTTTATAGTAACCTAAAATTTTCTGAAAATGGCACCATGAAAAGTGAGGTAAACAACATCCAAATTATTATAAAACCCAGTATTTTCGCTGCTATAGCCAATCTTCCCTCGGTTGGGTTGGCCTTTGAAGGGAAAATTTGTGAGGAATGGGCAGAAGATTTTAATATGAACGCAGCAACACAATTATTTTGTTTGCCCCACAATCGCCCCACCACTAGATTTCTAGCCGGGAATATGACAGCTGAGGCTAGAGTCTTACATTATACTGTATGTCGTATTTTGTTTCCCCGTGTTTCTAACTTTGCACAGGCAACCGAGGAAGATCTTCTCATTATGTGGGTTATAATGACGGCAAAGCAGATCAACTGGACCCATCTAATCCGACATAGGATGAAGAAGGGTTTGAGGGACGGTGCTCCACTTCCATATCCAACATTGGTCACCCGCATCTTGGAACATTTTCAAGTTCCACTGGAGGATGAAATAAAGGTCCCACCAAGAAGGCATTGGATGGTATCAGGAGCAGTCATACAATCATTTGGACTCATCCAAAATGCTGACAACAGATGGGTGCATAGAAATTCTCCTCCTCCACGTCAACCTCCGCGTAACCCACCTCCTCAACTACCACCACCACCACCTCCTCGTAGTCGATTTGATGACGTCATGGACGGGATAAACAATCTCCGAACATTTGTTGGCGACAGCTTCAATACACTTAATGAAACGATGAATGCAAGATTTAAACAATTGGAGCTGAATATGGGTGACCGGTTCGATACCATTGATGCTAGAGTTGAAAATGTGGAGCACGACATCCAGTATCTGCGTCGTCATTTTGGTCCACACGGTGGATCATCTTCCTAGATGCCTTTCAATTTGTACTTTCATTTTATTTTCATTTTAGGTTGTTCTTCTTTATGTAATGCACTTTGTATTGAATAAAATACTTTGTCTTTTCATATTATCATATTGTCTTCTTTTTATTAAATCAAATTATATACCCTTCCTATACAAAACAGTAAATCACAATGTAATCAACACCGATGCCTGCTTACACAACTTCATATGAACACACTTAATAAACTTCAAAATATCCACCACAATTACCATACAAAATTTCATAAACCAACCAAAAACACACTGGTAATCGATTACCACGACCCTGTAATCGCTTACCAGTGTCAATCTTCCACCAAAAACAACCTGGTAATCGATTACAAACCCGCCGTAATCGATTACCAGTGAGTTTTTTCCCATTATACTTGAAGTCGTGCTGGGTGACCACGATTTCAACCCGTTGTAATCGATTACCAACATATTGTAATCGATTACAATCCTCTGAAGTCGTTTTTGGGGTGCACGACTTCAACACTGTTGCTATGAACAGTGTGAAGTCGTGCAGGGGGGGCACGACTTCTTCTTTTGAAGTCGTTTGGGCCCCCCACGACTTCCCCATTTACGTAAATTTGTTTGACTTTGCCTATTTTGGTAATATAACAGGCAAATTTGCCTATTCTCGTGCAAAAACCCCTACCTTCACATATTTCGTCGCTTATCTGGTATCGCTTGGTTTTAGCGACTCTCATTCATATAACTTTTAAAGGAGTTGAATTATTTCTTCTTGCTAGTATCTGAATACTTCCGTGGCAAACATGATTTTCTTAGGATGGTCAGCTAAGATAGGGTTTGGTGTATCACCGTAGTGAGGTGTCCTTAATTTTGAGGTTACTCAACTTTGATAGTGTTGGATTTATCAAAGGAGGGGTTCACCGGAGAGATACAACATCGATGAGATTTGAGTCCAACTACATAAGGGATTATCACAATTCTCTATCAAAAACCTTAAGACAATAGGTTAATGGGTCTTCACCCTTATATGGTACTTCACTTTCTCATTTCTACCCAATGTGGGACTTAAACTCACATTTAGAATTCTAACAATCTCTCCCTTCGAGGGTGAATTCCTTCCACATTGGTACACTTTCCCTCTAGCGGAAGCATTCGAATATCTCTTTTCGTATCGTCGTTCATTTTAACAGGACATGCTTACTTGGAAACCTTTTCCAGGAAGACTTTCAATACAGGGACCATTGTACACATCGTAGCCTAACTAGACTAATACCATTTGTTGGGTTTATAAAAGGAGGGGTTCACCAAGGAGATACAACATCAATGAGACCTAAGTCCAACCACATAAGGGATTAATGTCACTCTCTACCCAAAACCTTAAGGCAGTGAGTTAATGGGCCTTTACCTTTATATTGTATTTCACTTTCTCATTTCTACCCAATGTGGGACTTAGACTCACACTTGGAATTCTAACAAACAGTTCCTCCACTCTTACATTCTTCTTCCACGGGATGTGGTCAATTTTCACCTCTTCAAAAGCTTTAATGAGTTTCTTCGAGGCACACAAGTAACGAAACAAAGATTTATCCTTCGCCTGAAATTAGCCATTGAATTGCTCGACCACCAACTTTGATTCGGTCTTACATAAGATTTTGTTGGCTCCCATGTCACTAGCCAATTTTATTCAGGTCTCGTACTCAGCTTGATTATTTGAGACCTTGAAGTCAAATGACAATGGTTGCTCTATTTTTAGGTTGTTCGACCCTTCTAGGATTATTTTTGCTCCTCTACCTTTTTGCGTCGATGATCCGCTAACATGCAATACCCATAATGAGTAGTTGGTTAATGTGTGCCCCTACATTTCAACTAAGAAATCTATTAAGTGTTGACCCTTCATTGTTCCTTTGGGTTCATACTTGAGGTCAAACTCTGATATTTCTCATCATATGGTCGGTTAGTTTTGGTATACGCATTATGTTAGTTATTGAGTAATTCTTCATCATTATTATCTAATGACTTTAAAAATAGGATATATGCCTTCAAGTCTCCATAACTAATGTTAATGCAATTTTTTTTAATTTGTTGGTACCTAGTCTCGACGTCTTGTAATACCTAACTAACGACACATAAATGGGCTAATGATATGGCTTTGCTTATACCAAAGCAGCGCCTATGGCATCTTTCGAAACTAACAGGTATATTTGTATCTCTCGGTTAGGGTTAAGCCTGCAAAGACAAACTATGTTGCAATAGTTGTTTTAACCTACTAAAAAGCTTTTTCACACTAGTCTGTTCATTTTTCCTTGAACGCCTTATTCATGGTTCTGAGAATTGGCCTGATGCGTTCAGCCAAACATGGAATGAATTGGGATATGGATGTCAATATATCAACGAGTCTTTACACTTGGGCTTCTTGGGCTTCCCATTTTTATTATCGTCTGACACATGTCAGGATTTGATGTGATTCCTCGATTAGAAAGCATAAAGCCTAAGAATTTTTCTCCTATTACTACAAACACAAACTTGTGTGAACACTTCCTCTAGGTTCGCTACATGCTCTTTTATGGACTTAGACTTGACCACCATGTCATCAACACACACTTCCATATTCCTACCAATTTGTTCTCGAAAAACTTTGTCCATAAGACGTTGGTATGTTGCTCTCGCTTTCTTAAGGCTGGAAACATAACTTTGTAACATAAGTTAGCCTTGTTTGTTATGAACTTGGTTTTATCTTTGTCAGGGTAGTATTTGATTATATCCAAAATAAGTGTCAAGGAAGCTAAGGTCTTGGTGACCGGATGCGTCGTCCACTAGTTGATCAGTGCTAAGTAAGGGGTAAGGATCTTTTGAACACACTTTATTTAGATCCATGAAATTTGTGCAAATATGCCACTAATTGTTCAACTTTTTCACCAATACAACATTAGCCAACCAAGTGGTTTATATGTTATGTAGATTTAACACCATACTAACTTGCTACAATATAAAAATCATTACTTTTACTTGATTAAGAGACAAAAGCCATAGAAAAATATAAATCACAAAAAGAATTAAAAGAACAAACAAATTTATTCATCTAACATCAGAATCCAATTAAGAAATTACAGTAAAATCAACCTAGAGGCTTAACACTCTATGGA